GCCCATTAAAAGCGTTCCACTGATCCCGGTTCTGGGAACCTGCTGGAAGGTTCCAGCCGGTTTTTCCCAATCGCCTTCAGTGTTTTGCGTTATACATTTTACGTCAGTAGCTGCTCCTTCGTGGGCCGGCCCAAACGAGGCACCCCCTGTGCGAAGCCCCTCCAGTCTGCCGCAAAATGCGGCAGATAGGAGGCCGGTTCCCTCTCTCGTACATAGGGCTGGCCGAACTGGGCTGGCTCCAGACGGCCCGTTATGTCGCTTAGGCAGCCCAGCGACACTGCCAGCCCATGCTAGGCTCATCCCACGTCATCCCTATACAAAAAGCCCGAAAAATCCTATACGACGCGCTCTGCGTCAAAATATCGGGGTATCGCACACTGTTTCTTAGCGATCCAAAGAGTTAGCCAAGCCCATTAAAAGCGTTCCACTGATCCCGGTTTTGGGAACCTGCTGGAAGGTTCCAGCCGGTTTTTCCCAATCGCCTTCAGTGTTTTGCGTTATACATTTTATGTCAGTAGCTGCTCCTTCGTGGTCCGGCCCAAACGAGGCACCTCCTGCGCGAAGCCCCTCCAGTCTGCCGCAAAATGCGGTAGATAGGAGGCCGGTTCCCTCTCTCGTACATAGGGCTGGCCGAACTGGGCTGGCTCCAGACGGCCCGTTATGTCGCTTAGGCAGCCCAGCGACACTGCCAGCCCATGCTAGGCTCATCCCACGTCATCCCTATACAAAAAGCCCGGAAAATCCTATACGACGCGCTCTGCGTCAAAATGTCGGTGTATTGCACACTGTTTCTTAGCGATCCAAAGAGTTGGCCAAGCCCATTAAAAGCGTTCCACTGATCCCGGTTTTGGGAACCTGCTGGAAGGTTCCAGCCGGTTTTTCCCAGTTTTGGGAACCTTCTAGTAGGTTCCTGAACCATTTTTTTATTTTTTTATCTTTCTTTTTTCTTGTTTGTTTACTCCTTTTTCGTGTTTTTCTTTGTTTCTTTTTTCTTTTTTGTATTTTTGGAAAAATGTTCTTGAATTTCATAAAAAATGATTTATAAAAATTGTTCAAAATTTCAAAAAACGTTTCAATTTTCAAATTTTATTCAGAAATTCAAAAATTGTTCCTCTTTTCAGATGTTCACAAAAATTGCACTTTTCATAAATTGTTCAGAAATTCAATTTTTGTTCAAAATTTCACAGCTTCTCAAATTTTGTTCAGTATTACGAAAATTGCCTCAAATTTATAATAATTTAGGGTTTCAAATTTTGTTTGGTAGTTTAAATTTTTTTGGTGATTTTTTAAATAATGTTCATGTTTTCCATTTTTGTTCTGGGATTTTAAAAATTGTTCGTGCTTCGGGTTTTGTTCTGGAGTTTCAAAAATATTGGTATTTTCAAATTTTGTTCGGGAGATTCCAAAAAAGTTTCCATTTTTCAAAAATGGTCGCGTATCCAAAAACTGTTTTGCCATTCAAAAAATGTTCATATTTTCAAAAAAATGGGTGGGGGGGTGAAAAATTGTTTCTGTTTCCAAAAATTGTTTGTGTTTTTCGAAATGTTTGAGTTTTACAAATATACACAATTTCGAAAAGTGTTTGCGGTTTCATATAGAATTCACTTTTTCGCCAAAATGGTATTGCATGTTCAAAATCTTGAAAACATTCGTATCCGTGATTGGTTTGGTTCTTAAGCATTTGTGCTGCCAATTTTAAGTACGGCGCATTCTTTTTTGCGAGCGAGCGCTCTAGTTTCTTCGCTAGCCGGAACAGGAGAGCCACATGGGCTGGCCCAGTCAGGGAGACCCACTGTGCGTTCCCTCGACATTTTGCCACATTTAGCGGCAGATAGGAGCTCCCAAAAAGCCCCGCCTACTGTATCGTTGTTCGTTTAATTTTCTTGCTGTCCGTTTGTTCGTCGCCCACACCCAGCCCATTTAGCCCTGGGCTTTGCTACATTGGTAAAAAACAAATTGACAAACAAACCTGCAATAAAAGTGACATGCCGAAATCACTAGTTAAGGAGTACTCATTGCAAAGATCACTCCCACCTTCTCAGGTTGCGACAAAGTGGCGCGCTGCTTGTCGCAACATGGGAGTTTTCCTTTTTTCGTACATTCGTTTATTCAAAATGTTTTATCTTTTAAACCGTGCGTCCAAATCTCGAATCGTTTTCACCGTATGTCGAGATCTTCAAAACTAGATCCCATGTTGATAGGTTTTGACGAACTTTTTTTCACGAAAAAACCAAACGAAAAGCCCAGACAAAAAACCGAACCGGGAGCACGGGTTTTTTTTCCTTTCCGAAATAGGCCTCTCGCGGAAGGAAAAAAAAACAGAACACGCGTTTCTTTTTCGTTTCCAAGAGGCACGGCCGTGACTCTCGCGAAAGAAAAACCGTGCCCCTCGCGGAAGCAAAACCGTGACTCTCGCGAAAGACAAAAAAACGAGTTTTTTCACGGTGAAAAACCGAAACGTCAAATTATTTTTCTGAAAATTCGTTTAAAAAGCCGAAAACGCATGTGGAAAAAAAACGAAGGAAGCGCTCAGAGTGCGGCACGTTAACCAGTGGCTCCTGTGACATGAGCCTACGAGTTGATTGTTATCTAGGCATGAAGGCCTTTCTACGCAGGAGGAAATAGTGTTCCCAAAAAGTGCACAAGCTGGGACATAAACAAATGATTATGTGCCAAAAAATAAACAAATGATTCATGAACATGTACCGTCCTGAAAAAAAAAAGATCGGTTACCAAAAAAAAATGCTGGTTCGTTCTGGCCTGGCCTGGCCTAGCATAGGAATCACTGTGCATGTGTTCAACTCAGAACTGAGTACACAACTACTGTACTTAATAAAATCAACAGCCTGAATTTGTTTCCAACACTGTCAAATTTTACAAATTATTTAGGTGATTGTCTTGATTGTTCAGAACAACAAAACGCAAAAAAAAAAAACCTTCACAGCAAGCATATTCATGGGGAAAATGAACTTGCTCCAACGGCCTCGTCTTAACAGTACCTAAAAAATGCTTGTTGGACACAGTGACAACGAAGCAGTAACCCCCCATGCGGCGCGATACAAACACTGCCATGGCACATTGCACCCAGACCACTGAATCCCAAACGACGAGCTCCATGGCACATTGCACCCAGACCACCGAATCCCCCCACAGCCCCCTTCCCCGAGCCAACGACGAGCTTCTCGTCTGACTACAGGCAGCGGGGAAAATGAAGGCACGGAAAACGAGTTCCCGCCCCACCAAACACACACATAATTGATGCTTCCTTTTTTTTTCTTGAAGTGATAGATAATGCTTCTTAATACAATGAAAAAAGGGTAAATACAATTATTCACATAAATCTAACGAAATGTTACCATACACCTTAATGCGTATCCCAATTCCCCTTGCCATCTTAATGGAGATGAGTTAGAGGTCAAGCTGTTAACATGATCTTCAGAAAAGTGAGCTCGAGAACGAGTAGCACCATGCCTGGAGGTGGACTCCAGCAATGTCTATTGAAACATTGATGCCTTGCTTCTTCTTTGCACACGTCGGGCCAAATTTGCATCCAGGGAGTGAAAAGCCATATCAGAAACCTTGTGCCGTAACATCTTGTGTGTGCCCCCTGCGTTCCGCCAAATATGCCAACCTGTGTCGCCAATAATTCTCTACGAGTTAATTTTGAGAGGATATGTGTACAATGCCATAACAACTTAGGCGAATTTGGCTAGACTATCTGTGTACACTCTAAAGCAGACTAACTAACAAATGACATATTAAAATCCCCAGTCGATTTAGTGTATGTAAACATGGCAAGCAAATTTCTAGTGCTTTGTTGGACATGCGGATGATGCCAACAAGTCACATGCAAGTGGAAATACACAAACAAACAAATAAACAAAATACTTGCTACTCCATAAGTTGACAGACATGACAACTCTACTACTGTGGCTAAAGCTTCAAAGAATTTAAGAACAAGTTACTGGAATCTAGGTTAATATCTTTCAGTGCCACCTGAATATCTGTAATGCAAGACTAGCTAGAAAATCAGGACCTGACATGTTACACGTCTAGGAAGTAGCATGCTACATACACAAGGTTGCTTTTAGAGGATTCACATGGTAAAGCTCGTCCTTGCCATGTACTACCAGGTAAGTAGCATTGTGATTGGAAAGCTTGTTGCAGTAGTTTCAGTTCAGTCCACCAGTAGACTGAAGATAAATTTGCTAAATCTCCACTCTCCAGTCTGCTGGTAATTATTCGTCTGGAAACCAAATGGATAGACAGTTGTGTGTTCAGTTTGAATCATATACCACGATGCATGAAGCCAAAAACTGTTGTTTTTCTGTTTGCATGTTCAAGGTGTAGCTTTTTCATGTCCTGTTTTAACCAGTTGAAAGCCTGAAACAAGGGACAATTCTACAGAGCTGGACCTTGAAAGACAACGACATCACAGAATAGTGTGAATAGAACAAGTTACCACCCAACAAAAGGACAAGAAGTTATCGAGAGAAGGCTAGTCAGACAATGAAATCCATGATGCAAAGTTGACCCTTTTTTCCAGAGAAAAGTTTGGACCCGGCAACTTTTGTAGGAAAAATGAAAATTTGTTACTCATGTATATTGTTGTGACCACACAATTGGAATAGTCAAGTATTTTTCTCACTTATCTGTTGTGTGATGGATGACTATGATGCACACACGAGTGGTCAAAACTGAATAATGCCTTAGTCTGTAGACTTATTTCAGGAGTACACATCAGCCAGCTGAAAAAAGAGACAATTCTACCACGCTTAAATATGAAAAAAAGGAGACTTCACAGCTAATTATTGATTGAATTGTTGACGAAATAGAGCAAACTATCACTCTCAAGAAAAGGACAAGAACCTACCAATTTCGTATAATATTATAGAAGCATATTTCTTTATCTTGGGTGCTACCACTAGTTGGTTCCTATAATAGTGTACAATTGCGATCATTCTAAAGATCAACTAGAGTGCCCCAAGCTTCCAGCAAATATGGATGCATACTCTACCTCTCTGCTTCTACTAACTTTGATTCATCTGCTGCTGCGCTCCTCGGCTCGTGAGTTCCTCTCGCCGGGCTCCTTTCTCTCTGTAGAGGATAGCTCGGACAGGCTCCATTCACCCGATGGTACTTTCAGCTGTGGCTTCAACAACATTTCTCAAAATGCCTTTGTCTTCTCTATTTGGTTCTCTAACACAGCTGAAAAGACTGTCGTCTGGAGCGCAAATCATCTCCACCCCGTGTACTCCTGGGGATCCCAAGTCATGCTAGAGAGGGATGGCCGAATGGTGGTAAAAGATTATGATGGCCAGCCCGTGTGGGAAAATGGTGTGAACACTTCATCAAATGCCGAACAAGCTCAGTTGTTGGACACAGGAAATCTCATCGTGAAGGGCCAAGGTGATATCATTCTATGGCAAAGCTTTGATTCTCCTACTGATACATTGCTACCAAATCAGAACATAACTGTTGGTACAAAGTTGGAATCTAGTAATAGGCTACTTGTTCCTGGGCACTACAGCTTCCATTTTGATGATGAGCTTTTACTTACACTGTTTGATGATCAGAAGGGTGTCTCTTTTATCTATTGGCCAAACCCTTTCATTAATATCTGGAGAAAGCAAAGACACTCATTTAATACCACCACAATTGGGGTCCTTGATAGCTGGGGTTTTTTCCTTGGAAGTGATAATTTAACTATCAAGGCTGCTGATTGGGGTCTTGAGGTTATGCGAAGGCTAACATTGGATTATGATGGCAACCTTAGATTATACAGTCTTGATAAGCCAAATGGAAGATGGTCGGTCACATGGATGGCATTTCCGCAGACCTGCTTTGTACGCGGTTTGTGTGGTATGAATGGGATATGTGTGTATACACCTAGGCCTGCTTGTGCATGCGCACCTGGACATGAGATCATTGACCCAAGTGACCGGAGCAAAGGTTGCATGCCAAAGTTCAACCTCAGTTGTGGTGGGCATGGGCAGGAGATGAACTTTTTGAAGCTACCTTCCACGGACTTCCTAGGTTATGATCGTAAGATTGAGTTAGTCTCTCTTCATGCTTGCAAGCAGATATGCTTGAGTGACTGCACATGCAAAGGTTTCTCATACTGGCAAGGAGAAGGAAGCTGTTATCCAAAGTCATCCCTCGTTGGTGGTGTAGCCAACCCACAATTACCTGGTTCTATCTATCTCAAGCTTCCCAAGACATTACAAGTCTCAAAGTCCTCGATTCCTCACTCGCAACCTTCTGGCCCTAGATATGGTCCTAACTGTAGTGCAAAGAACAAATATGTCACTGCAGATTTTCTGGATAAGCGTAAGAGCAGTCAGAGTGGATCACAGTATTCGTATTTCTACGGATTCTTATCAGCGATATTTTGTGCCGAGGTGATATTGGTAGCATTAGGATGCTGGTTTATTTTGATAAGGGAGCACAGGCAGTTAACAGGAGTATGGCCGGCTGAGGTAGGCTATGAAATGATAACTAACCATTTCCGCAGATACACTTAAAATGAGTTGCGGAGAGCTACTCGGGAGTTCAAGGATCTGATTGGGAGGGGGGCATCTGGTCTCGTATACAAGGGAATCTTGAAAGACAGGAGGGCAGTAGCTGTGAAAAGGTTGGCAGAGATAAACCAAGGTGAAGAAGAATTCCAGCATGAACTGAGTGTGATTGGAAAGATTTACCATATGAATCTGGTGAGGGTTTGGGGATTCTGTTCTGATGGACCACACAGGATATTGGTTTTAGAGTATGTTGAGAATGGATCGTTGGATAAAATACTGTTTAGCAGAGACTCACAGATATTACTTGAATGGAATAAAAGATTTCAGATTGCTCTAGGAGTGGCAAAAGGATTGGCCTATCTTCATCACGAGTGCTTGGAGTGGGTTATCCACTGTGACCTGAAGCCAGAGAACAGACTGTTGGATGAGAACTTAGAGCCAAAGATCACCGACTTTGGCCTTGCCAAACTTCTAAACAGAGGCGGGTCAAATAAAAATGTATCGCGGATCCATGGAACTAGAGGTTATATAGCTCCTGAGTGGGTTTCTGGATTCCCAATAACAGCAAAGGTTGATGTCTACAGCTTCGGAGTGGTTCTCCTAGAGCTACTCAAGGGGGCTCGTGTTTCAGACTGGGCACCAAATGAAGACGAGGAACTGGAGATGGTCCTTCGAAGGGTCATTAAGATGCTTGCAGAAAATCTGATGTTGGAGGGCAGCGAACAGTTATGGATCGCTGACTTCATGGACTCCAGATTGAACAGGCAGTTCAATAACTTGCAAGCAAAAATGATGGTCAAGTTGGCTGTTTCATGCGTAGAAAAAGATAGTAGGAAAAGGCCTACCATGGAAAATGTTGTGCAGATGCTTGTTTCGGTAGATGAGGACAATAAACCAGCTAAATAAACCAGCACCAATTACATGCTACAAATATTAGGATGCTGGTTTATCTGTAGCATTAGGCATTATGAAGCATTACACTACGAACTAAAAAAGGAGTGATATTCCACATAGCATGCAGCATGTATACTTATTGTTGGATGCAAAACTATGATGTGTATCGATGTAAGTCAAGAATAGCATGAGCCGCTTGTATACCAGTATAGAATTTTGTATTCGACCACACTGCCAGATTATGAAGTGTCATAATACAAGTATCTGATTTACCATCAATGCACAATATGTTGACGGTGTGTCTGTGTGGCTTTCCTTTCCAGTTGACAGCATTGTTTTTCCAAACGAAACAGTTGCCCAGCTGACTTGAGAAATATTTCAACGAAAACTCGTTTGTCCTCTGAAAAAAAATAGAATCATTCAGAAAAATGTACCATTTTGGCTCTGCAACAGACAGGATCAACAAGCATATAGCTGGCATTACAGACCTTCGGATAACCGACATCTCATATCAAGCACTAGGACTGGGCAATGACTCTTCCAGCCAAAGCACACACAGGTTAGTCACTGACGAAAATGCAAAATATAAAGACATGGTTAATATAGAACCAGAGGCACAGCCTTTGATCTCATGTTGGGGGCTTTTAGTGTCAGGAACCCTTAGGCTGTGTATTAAAGAAAAGATGTGTTGAGTTCTGTATACACCCATCTCAGAATTTCTGTTCTCATGCTATTTTTGTCCATTTCCAATCCTACATGATATGATGCAGTTTTCTAGGAGTAGAAAAAACATCATTCATGATGTTCCTCGGCAATTCACTATATTCAAGAGGAAAATATAACAGGGTAACGAGTCCCTTTCGTACCCATATATCCAGAACTAAGTATTATTATAATACGTTTGCAAGTTTTTGCTGTCCGGTTGGTTTAAAACTACTAGCCCATTGCGCCTCGTAAACATGAGATCAAACATGCGTACGAGTGAGTGCACCTCCCTCTACCATGTCACTCTCACATACGAGAAAGAATCAGCCTATGGTCTTCACCAGATTCTGACACTTCCCAATGACAATGTCACCACTCTGAGGATTGCACCCACATATGGTGATCCATCTTCATCAAGATTGTCAATTCTTCCTCCCTTGCTTTAAATTTTACCAAAGTCTACATTTTCCTTCATTGCCAGACGTTTGTTGGGCCATTTGGTCTCTACTTCTGCCTTATAGCTCCGCATGAGTTCAATCTAAACATACACCATTCAAGAGAGACTCTTCATAATCAGGGAATCCTCTTTGTTAAATCCCTGATGAACATTGACTCCTACTATCGCATCGTGTCCATTGAATATTCAGGCCTAGCAAAGTCATCTTTACTTCCAAAAGTATAATCTGATCTGCCAATGCCATTAGCTGTAACTATTTTGGAAAGGGGCCTCTGAGCGAAGTAAAGTTGATGGGAAAGAGTATAACCTCTGATAAGTGGATTTATTGTGGAGTATCCAATAGCTTCCTGCGAGTGTTTTCCGACAGGTCAATCACTCAAGCAAAATTGAGATTTGCAAAAGGGATAAGGCCACAACTTAATCCCAATAAAAAAGAAAGATACAACTCACAGTGAGTACAACCAGAAACCTCCTCTCCGCTGCTCTTAAATAGCTGCCTGATATATCTTCCTCCTCTTCAACACCAATGAAGTCGATTATTTCTTGGTGCTTGAAATGAGTACGGACAGCCCTTCAATTTTCTAATTTTATTTAAACCACAAGAAGAGGTCTGAGGATTCACCCTGCATCAGAAAACACCCGTACTATTGATCAGACGAAACCTGATAATACTACAAATTACACTGTGGTGGAAAACATTAGCACATAGTAAGCAAGCACGAAACATATTTAGCAGCAGGTATCACCATTATTGTGCTTCAGATAAGAAAGCAGTCTAAATTGCAATACTCTGATACCTAAATTTTGCCAAGGTACACAAAAGAAATGCATAGTAGAGAGTACAAAAGGGCAAAAAACATCCGACAAACTGAACAAGATGAAAATAATTTGATGGACTCAACAGGAAGATATACCCTTAGTTATTGTTGACCGAACAGTGTACAATGTTGATTCTTCAGAAATAGTGAAGTACAAAATATATAGGACAGCATCATGATGCTCTACAAGATTGTGTAGTAGAAGACTAGAAGTAACAAGGTATGCTTTACGAAAATTGCTGCAAGTCCACAATAACAGTAGGCTGGATTGCTGCAAGGAATTTTTTTTTCTTCGGCTTAGTTTCCATCAGGACATATAAAGCACAAAATGGACATGCAAGTGTGCAACACTTGGTTTAAGAAATACTTACTGATATCTTGCATCACCAGCCTTCCCAGCATACGCAACCTGCGGGCGACTTTTCCTGAAGTCTGAAATCATTTGAAGTAATATAACCCTCTTCAGCTATAATGGTTGTGACCGCTAATTATCATGTTATAACATTCTCGACGAACAAGTCTACACATACCAGCAAGCGTGTTTCAGGTGAAACCTCAGACAAGAAGGCATATAGAACACTCAAGCCATCACTGTCCGATGGGTCTAACAAAATAACAATATATAAATCCATATATAAGGAGAGGTCCAAACTGGAACAGCACTCTGCCTAAGAAATCTGAGCACATAGAAGCCCAAAGGAAGAAGAGATGGCAGATTCATCCAGTGAACGTATGTGTCTAATCCCATCTCTCACAGTAGTTCAGTGGTGAGCTTGATGATCCTGAGAACATCTCAAAATGGCATCAGAGCCACCTAGCTCTAAGATTGAACCCCCTCATGACCCTTTCATGCTTAAATGTTTTCTGTTCAAGGGCATATGCATCAAGTTTTATAAGGTTATGAGTTTTTGTTAAGCACGTGTCCTGTATGCTTTTCCTTACAAGCATGTTCATGTCTGTGCAAGCTCGAAGTCATGCTCATGTTTAAGCTATTCATGTTCATGTTTTAGCCTTAAAGTACCTAAGTAATAGCCCAATTTATCTGATTTTCTGTCAAAACCATGCTAAAGTGCCACAGGGTTCTCCGTTTAAGTATGTGTGAGAAGGGGAATAAGGCAATTTTTTGCAAATCCTAATTTTTTCCCAAATCCGAAACCCTAGAAGGCCAAATCCCTAATTTACCCCAAAAATCCAGGATATCAAAGAGCACGAGGGCGGCGGACATTTACCTTGGGGCTGTGGCACAGCCGTGGCGACCATCTAACGTCCGCGAGCCAGCTCGGGCGGCCTCGCCGTCCGCCGCACCGGCCGGTGGCCATGCCCCCTCGCACGTTCACCGTCGTCGCCGTCCCGCACGCGCACGGCGGCCTCGCCAAGGGCACGGACGAGCACAGCTCGACGGAGCCTCGCGCAGGCCAAAGCCGCACGGGACTCCGGCGAAAGGCACTCGCCGGCGCCACTGCCTTCCTCCACCACCACGGCGGCACAGCCCGACGGAGCCTCACGCAGGTCAAAGCTGCGCGTGCGTACTCCGGGTAGCCCTCGGATCGGCGATGGACGGCTCGTACGCGTCCGCCGCTGCATCGGGCTGAGCAGGCCGTGCGGGTGGCATGTTTTCCCGGTCCAGGCCCAGGTTGTCCGGCCTGGACGCCGCAGGACGACGTGCGCGCGAGAACTATAATATCTCGCGTTATGAGAGATGGAAGGCTTTTACCCAGTACTGCAGCTACTGAACCAGCCCGTTTTGTCCTTATTTTACTTCGCTGAGTTTGTTCGATCGAGCAAGTTCGCTGGTTCGCTGGCTCGCCTCGCTCAGTTTTTTTTTCTCCTTTGTTTTTCGTTTGCCTTTATTTCTTCACGTTTTTTGGATTTTCCATTGATTTTCTTCACTAGTTGTTTTTGCCTTTTACTTTGGTTTTCTTCAGTGGTTCATCACTTTGGTTTTCTTTTTCTCTTTTCCCTTTCTTCTATTTTTCTTCGATTTTCTTTATTTTTTCATCGTTTTTCTTCTTCGACATACTACATTTTCTTTGTTCTTCCATCAGTTTTCTTCATTATAATTCATTTTCTTATTTTTGAATGGTTTTCTTTGTTTTTTCGTTTGCCTTGGGTTTATTTGCTTCTTCAATTTGTTTTATTTTAGTTTTCTTCATTTTTCTATTGTTTCGTGTAGGTTTTCTCAGTGTACAATATGCATTTTAGTGTCCACATGAGACATTTTTTTGATACATGATATGCATTTTTCTTAAATACTTGTATTTGAACACTTTTTCAAATAAACGGTCAACATTTTTTTATTACATGGTCAATATTTTTCTATAAACACTTAACATTTTTAAAATGCTTGATTAATATTTTTAAATGCAAGATTAAAAAAATTAGTACATGGTCAACATTTTGCTAAACACACTTTAAAGTTTTCAAATCCTTGATTAACATTTTGAAATACAAGATTAATATTTTTCTAATACATGGTTGACATTTTTTATATGCACATTTTAACATTTTTCAAATGCTTTATCTACATTTACCAAATGCAAGATTAACATTTTTTCGAATGCATGATCAACATTTTTTCTATACACAATTTACATTTTCTGAATTCTTGATTAAATTTTTTTAAATACTTGTCCAACATTTTTCTAAATGGTTGATTAACAGTTTCACATACATGATCAAAAGATTAGATCATTTTTTAATACATGGTCCACATTTTTTTCTGTACACATTTAACATTTTTCAAATGCTTGATTAAAATATTTCAAATATATTTAAAACATTTTTTTCAAATGCTTCATTAGCATATTTTAAATACATGATCAAAAAATTTCACACACATTGTATATTTTTTGTATACATGGTCTACATTTTTTCTATACACATTTAATGTTTTTCAAATGCATGATTAAAGTTTTTCAAAACATTATGAAAATTAGGGAAACACGAGCTGCCACGAGCCTAGTGTGCTCATTGCAAAAACGGTGAGGCAGCGAGCATCATGGTCCTGTACGTATGGATTCATCTTATTATGTCATGGGTGACATTTATTGAGTACTCCCTCCGTTTCTAAATATAAGTCTTTTTAGAGATTAAGTACAAAGTTAGATTAGATTATAA